GCAGTACCTGCACTTTCTGCGATGAATGAGAAGGGCTTCTCTCCCCCTCCCAACCTTCCTACCATCTACAGAGGAAACACTGAGAGCCTGTTGACCAGCAGTATCACCATCTGGTGGTGAGGACAGAGGAGAGGATCATTGGGTCTCCACTCCCATCAATCCAGAACATTACACACAAACACTGCTTTGCCAGAGCAAAGCAGATCCTCTCTGAATCCATCCAACCTCTTCAAGGTCTGTTCATCCATTTGGTGTCTGGCAGGAGATTCCGTATCATCCACTGTCAAATAGCCAAACTCAGAAATAGTTGCCCCCCATTGACCATTAGATTGCTCAACACCAACAATTCCCCACTAAGACTGTCTGAAATGCTAAATTATATGTATTTAGCTAAATATTATTTGTATATTTATCTGCTTATAGGCACACATGTTTGTGCCAAGCGATGAGATTTCATTGCAATTTTCACTATTGTGTCTTTATGCAATGACAATAAAATAAGTAGAAATTACATAAACATTTTCTGCAGCTTAAGAAAGTGATTTTTGTCACTTAAAGTGTTAAGTTAAATGCTCTTGACTGTTCTGGTAATTGCCTAATTATACATTTTGTTCTACAGATCCCAATAAACCCAGTTTGATTCTGCAACCCAACTGGTCTCAGATCTACAGTGGAGAGAAAGTCACTCTGAGATGTGAGATCAAGGAGGGAAGAAGAACTCAGTGGACGTATGAATGGAGAACAACTAATAGAAACTTTCCAACATCCAGCGAATACAGGATCAACTCAGCTACTGAGGCTGACAGTGGAGAATACAGCTGTAGAGGAAACAGAGAAGGGTTTTCCTTGACACCGTGGAGTAATGTTATGAACCTAACTGTATGTAAGTAACTTACATACAGTTGCTAACTGTATGTAAGTTACTGTATTTAAGTTACTGGCATGGAAGAGATCATTTATATTACATTTTGTCCCACTTGGAAAAAAAAAATCTTCTAATAATATCAAAACCCTCTTGTTTGCCACTTTGAAAATATTTTACCTGAAATTTGAAACAACAAACCGAACATCAGCTTTAACTCCAGCACACAGTCTAAGAAAAACAGAGTTTTTAAAAAATCTTTTTTATCCAAAAGTGGATTCAGTTTGCTACAGTCACCTGTAAGTGTATATGTTCCCCAGTATATTGGTAATTTATCATGTTTATGCCCTAGTAGATATTTTCTGTCACTGGTGATATTGTCAGTTTAATAACAAAATAACAAAAATGGACACTAGACATATATAAATGTCAACAATTTGACAATGAAGGGCAGTAGTTGTGACAATATTAATTTAAAAACAGTGGCAATTTAAAATCTTTTTTCTATTAGTTTTGTAAGAATCGTTCAGGGAACCAATTTCTAACAGTGTTAGTTCAGCTTGCAAGGCGTTCCAAGGAGATGGGGCAGAAAAGCTGAAAGTTTTCTGTAATAAAGGATAATTTCTGGCACTGGGTGCAACTCAAACCTGAGATTATGGATGGTTCAGATTTTCTTACAAAAACATTTTTGTGAGTAAGAGCATGTTCTTCTGCCAGGACAGCAGCTTTTGCTCATTCAGGTATTATGAGCTACAATCTGGAAGGCAGTTTTTGAACTCTTCCAACAATACCGATTAGTGAATTAAAATCAGTAGCTTTGGTTGTCTGGCACATCTGTCAAATATCATTCCTTGTTCCCTTGCACATTTAACAAATGTTTTTGAGGTGGATTTTATCAAGGTTCTGAGAGTCCTCCTTTTTCAACCAATCTACTGAAGACAAGAGATTTCAATTCGCCTTTGACTTAGATAGAGGGATACCATAATGTGAAGCAATTTCACATGAATCAAATTTTCTGCAGACATCAAACTGTTGTAATGTAGGATTGCAAAAACTCCTCTGTACAAAACTGTCCAATATTCAAAATAATCCCGGACGAGCCCCCACTTATGCAACATCCCTACCCCAAGACAGCAAAGGATAATTTCTGGCTCTGGGTACAACACAAAAACTATTAACCACTAAGGAGTTAATGTCAGGAGAAATACAGTTTATTTTACAATTTAGGCAAAATACCAAACACAAGAGGTAAAAAGAAAATAATAAAGACAGGGAAGCTTTAATCTTCAGGGTCTCCAAAGTCAAAATAATAAACAAAACACCCACTTTCAACTGGAAAATAAAATACCTCTTGCTAGAAGTGAACTTAAAAGGTAAAAATGTTGAGTTCCTCGGTCATCCACAAAACAGTAGAAAAGAGGTCCAGAACAAAAATACCAGAGAACCCCTACCAGTTTCCACTCTGAAAAACCCCCCACAATGACCAGAGTCAGAGTATTTTTTGTACTACGATTTAAATAAATCAGACAGAATAATAACCCTTAAAAATAATTAAAATGAAAAGATGAGAGATGATCAGGATAAATGTTTGACCCAGTTTCAAATCTCTCTCCAGCACCCAAACCTCAGCCTGTCCTCTCTGTGTCTCCACTATGGCTGGATCCTGGAGCCTCAGTGACTCTGAGCTGTGAGGGTTTGGAGTCTCCATCAGCAGGATGGACGTTCTTATGGTATAAAACTGTTCCTAAACCATCTGGCAAATCATTCTACACCTATAAGATGTTGCCTGACATCACCAATGGGACTGAGCAGAACTCCTACACTGTTCATGGACCGACTCTCACAGCAGGATTTGTGTGCAGAGCAGAAAGAGGAGAACCAGAGTTTTACACTCTTTACAGTGAACCAGAGTTTGTCTGGTCTGCAGGTCAGTTTATTTCTGTCTTTGATCTCAATAATACCAAGTTTCAGAGTTTTTTTTAACCTGATCCCACTTTCCTTTTATTTTGAATTTTCCTTTCAATATTATTCTTAAAACATACACTGGGACATCTGTTAGTGTATAACAGAGCATTAGAAAGAAAACATATTTTCATCATCACTACCAACTGATAATTTAAACTATCAGATAATAAACATTAGCTCAGCTAGATTCATGCTGTTTGTGTGCAACGTGACAAAAATATAAGATTAAAAGCAATTTTCTGTAGATTTTTGACAAACACAACTAGATAAAGGCTAAAGATGTCAGCAGGGATGTTGGAGAATCAATCCAACATCCAGCTGAATTAAAACATCGGTCTGGGGGAGGTGTTAGACATTCACAGCTAAACTACATCTTGTTTTTCAAAAAGACGGAAGAATTTTTTCCATGTTGATAGTTTACTTCCTGAAATATATGGAAAATTTAAAAGCAGAAATAAAAGTTTGACCAACTTGCTGAAATGTGTTCTCTGATCTTTATTATTATAGAAACAAAGCAAGGAAACATTTTTAATGAAAACATTCCAAAGATGTTTCTGCTCTCAGCTGAAATCCTGTCTTGTTTCCAGATCCTCGTCCAGCAGCGTCTCTCTCTGTGAATCCTGACAGAGTTCAACACTTCAGGTATGACTCTGTGTCTCTGAACTGTGAGGGAAACTCTGCTGAGTGGACAATGAGGAGATTTACAGAGAAAGGCCACCTGTCAGACTGCTCCTACTGGGGGAAAAAGACTGGATCTACATGCACCATTTCACCATTCTATTATAGGGATGGAGTTTACTGGTGTGAGTCAAAATCTGGAGAGTTTAGCAATGCTGTCAACATTACATTACAGGGTAAGATATGTTTGTTTTATCTTTTTTTATTCATCATGAAAATATATGTGATTTTGTAAATATCATAGCATAAACTTTATGGAAGATTTTAGACATTTTCTGATGAATAGACTGAGGTTAAATCACAAAGATAATTCATTCTGTAATTTATTATTATTATTGTTGTTGTTGTTGTTGTTGTTTGGCTAATTTCATTTTATCTCCTCTTCCACTGTAACTACTATCAATGCACTAATGCTCTTTGAATGCTATCAGGCTGTTTTTCTGTCACTATTTAAAAACCGTTAAGCTTTTTTTTTTTCTTAAATATAATTTTTAATCATTCTTGAAGTAAATTGTTTCCAATGAATTGCTCTGCTGCTCATGTGAAGCTAAAATCAATACATATTTGTCTCAGGCAAAAAGAGTGACATCAGATTATTTAATCATTTTATAACAGGTTTCAGCCGAAAGACGTCAATACAGGAAACTTTCGCTCTCATTAATTGTATTGTTTTACTTTGCTTTCTACCCTAATCACACAAATCAAATTGAGACTCTGGCTGAAGCACTCCAAGGCATTTTTTCCAATAATCTATTGTAGAAAACAATTTTTAGGAGAATTTGTCGCATTCATCAAACACGTCTTGATGTCTACAAAATGGGACAATATATGGATATAAATTCATTTTTTCTAAAAAATTTTTTTAAAAAAGCAACAAAAAAAAACCCATGCTTTTATAATCATTTAATTCATTTAAATTCATTAATTTCAATTCAGTTTCTAAAAACATATAAGTATATATTTTTTGTTTTTCTTCACCACTAGATTCCACAATGCCACTGCTCTTTATGGACACGGCTTAAAGAGCCGTGAACTGAATATCTTCTGATTGTTTTACAGATGATTACTCTGATCCTCTCCTGCTGAGTCCTGTTCATCCTGTGACTGAAGGAGATCCTGTGACTCTGAGCTGCAGAGATAAAAAAAAACAACTTCTCCCCAACGTGTTTTTCTATCACAATGATAAACTCCTTGACTCTGGCAGCAGAGGAGAGCTGAATATCTCTGCAGTGTCAAAGTCAGATGAAGGTTTCTACATGTGTAAACATTCAGGAAAAGATTCACTACAGAGCTGGATGTCTGTTAGAGGTGAAAAAGATTCAAATATTTGATGGATTTTATCCAGTTAAAATCTTTAGCTTTAATTCAGGAACAAGGCCAACACTGAAGATCTTTATGTGGATGTGCTGAAGATTTTATCTATGTTGAAGTTTTTACTAATCAAAAGGATGATGTCATAAAATCTTAACTGGTGTTTAATGTTCCTTGTTTCCAGTAACTGTATCCAGTCCTGTCAGCTCTTCATTTCCTGTCATGTTGATCGTTGGACCAGTTGTTGGAGTCGTTCTCGTTATTCTCATTATTCTCCTGGTATTGTGGCGCTGCAGACGGTCCAAAGGTGAGAACTTTTTCTGCTCACATTGAATCACATTCATTCAAACACTTTATTTGTTAAAATGTTTCAAAAATTTTCTGATGTTTTAACATAAGTTCAAAGTAGGAAAAATATCATTAAATGTCTTTGTCTCTTTAAATGTTTTCCCCTGCAGATTTAAGCAGTAACAGGTCAGTAAAAATATCTGTTCTCTCTTTCTAATCATGCATCAAATAATTACTTTCATTAATGCATTTATGTCTCTATTATTTTCAGATTGAATCAACCAGAGAGCAGCAATCCAGATCATGAAGTGACCCAGAATGACGGTTCTGTTTACAACTCTCTGCTCCCTGGTTCGTCTCACATTAAACATCTTTATGATTAATTAGAATGTTTAATTACTTCATAGATAATTTTCTTTTTTCTAATGAATCAGTTTTTATGGCAAAGAAAACAAATAAAAATAGGGTGAAAAACATTGCTACATTACTGCTGTTTGCATGTAAAATAAATTCATCCATAATTATTACTCTTCAGCAGTCTAACGTAAAACTACATTTCTAAGATAATAATGAAATTTCCTACTAGTAACTAAAATCAACATATTGTCAGGAAAGATCAAAGTAATGAAACACAACTAAAAACATAAACTTTGAGCATCTCTGTTTAAAAATGATAATTTCATTGATTTTCGCTCATTTAACTTTGTTTTATTGTAGATGATGGAGGGTTGGATTCCCTCTATGAGACAATCCACCTCAGCAGCGCCTCTGGAAACGGTAAACTATGTTTTATAGCAGCTAAAGATACTGATGACTGACTGATGGTTGAAATAATGGCATATTTTAAATGAAGATAAATCCAAATATGTTAAATATACAGATAATTTAAATAGAATTTCTAAAAGAGTTACTCAAACATATAAAATACAAAAACTAAGATGATTCTAAAATGTTTTAATGTTATTTTTCTCTTTTTTGTGATTCCCCACTGATTCATCTGACAGTCACAGCAGAGTGGATCTTTCATTCAGCAGAAGAATCGGACTATGTTAACATTAACCCAGGTAACTGCAGCTCAACATGTGGTTCAGATGGTTAACATCTACATAATAGACATAAAGTATTGGCTAAAATTAGTAACCAAAACAAAGGAAAAGGCTGTAATAGGTGGTGTGATTGTGCATTCAACTTAATATTTTTTTAATTCAAAATATTGATTTCAGATTCATTTAATGATGATTTTAATATCAGTTTATTGCTCCGATATACAATTTTACAGATTTAAAGTAAATCACTGAATTAGAATCAAGCATATGATTTTATCTTTGAACATGTTCAACTCTCAGAGACTTTTATATCATTTTTGATGCTGATTAATATGTGACTCAAATTATTTGTCAATTGACAGGAAAGAGGAATGTGATGGTTCGTTCTCCACCAGGGCTGGCCCAAGGCAAAGGCAAAGCAGACTGAGTGTCTGGTTAGGGCCCGGGGTTGCTATGGGACCCCCTAAATAATAATAATAATAATAATAATAATAATAATAATAATAATAAATTGCTCTTAGGGGCCCCCTACTGGCCACGGTGGGTCACGCTTCACCGGTAATATGAGCTGCCATCCAATGTACAGAGCACCGGTAGAAGATAAGTTAGCAAAACAATGGTGCAAAAAGGACTTAGCTTTCAGGGACAAAGAAAAGAAAGAGGAAGAATAGAAGAAGAAAAAAAGCCGAGATAAAGGTATGTTTTTATGTGTCTTGGTAATGTAAAGTTTATCGAAAATATTTGTGGAGCTACTAATAGCAAATTAGCTTAAAGCGACCTTGAATGGTCCAGATCAACAGTCAAACATTTATGCTAGCATCCTTGTATTTGTGTGAAACTGAGCTTTAACTTTAAATGAGTTTATTGTCATTACTGGCCTTATATAATTCTGAGTTGTTTTCTTTTGTTTGTTTGTTTTTATGGTTTCTAGACAGTGTGTTTAATGTCAACAATTACTAAAGCTTCTCAATATAACTTTGTCAAGAAAAATGGTTTTACATCAGACTACATGGCTACTGCATTGACCTATCAATGAGCTACTCTAAGCAGTAGTTGGCGAAATGTGGTGTGCATTTGCGCAAACAAATTTTGCTTACAGACCCATGGAGGCATGGGGCAGCCCTGTTCTCCAGCAAAGCTGTTATCTTGTGTAATCCCATATCTTTGTATGCTTTTATTACAATCCTGTGAATAAAAATATATTCCAAATATCAGATATGCCTCCTTTTGCTTTAGTAGAAAGCTGCCTTTTACCTATATTTTCTATTAGATCTGTGAAATGTAATAAAAACAAGTCCGACACATTATTTGTCATAATGAATGGGAGTGTTTCGGCTTTAAGACACTGCGAATCTGATTCTTAGTATTTTTAAACTGCTGCCTTTCTCTTCTTCCATTATTTATAAATGTAGCCACTGATGACAAAAAAAAAATATTCATAAAAAGTAAACTTAAGACACCCTGAGGTCATTTTAGGGTAAATATGTCCATGTAGCGTTGGGCTTTTGGTAAACAGACAATTATGGACACAGAAGGGGAAGGCTGACATTTTTATAATCAGCATTGTAAGGAACATTTATTTTAAACTAATTTAAATTGCTAGTATCTGTTAGAACATGTGGAGTATGTGTGACTACAACTTTGCTCCAACCACATCAAAAGCTCATTTAACTTCCAACAATATCTTTCTACTACAGATAAAGGAACTATTACTGATTAGAGCGTCACTTCCCAGTTGTAGTGATGTGGCAGTAAGTCTGTTGTAATTTCTATTTCCCACCGCTTGGTGGCAGCAAAGATTTTTTTGAGTCACAAAGGTGCATGTGTTTTCAGTTAAAATGTCTGGAAACTACCAGCTAGAGTTATATCAAGTAATTTTAAACTGTAGCCTTTCTGTTCTTGCAATTATTTGTAAATGTAGCCACTGATGAAAGAAAACAGACATAAAAATAAAACTTAAGACACCCTAAAGTTTCTTTAGGCTGAATATGTCATTATAGTGTTTGGTTTTTTTAGACAATTACAAATACAAACACTCAGAAAGGGAAGATGAAACTGTTTACTGAACATAGTAATTGTTCAGGAAGATGAACAGCAGTAAATGGGAGCATCAAGCCAGGTCCACTTCATGAAGAAAGGTGAGTTAATTGTTGATTTAGATTGCAGGTGAGGAAGATGATCAGTGGTTCTTACTCCTCTGAATGGTGAAGCTGATCTCCAGCGGAGGTAAGAGAGGTGATAGAGGGTTGAGTTTTCAGCTGGTGATTGTGTATTACGTGTTGTTTCCAGGACTGAACGATGGTGGAGAGGGGCAGGTGAAGCACGACAGAGGAAACACAGTGGTGTGGAAAAGTGTTTGCTCCCTTCCTCATTTACTGTTATATTGCATGTTTCTTGGATTTAACTGTTTAACAAACTGATTTGGGAGAAGAAAAAAAAAAAAGAAACATAACTGTGGTTTATCACACCCAGACCTGAAAACTGCCACACCTGTTCTCAAACAGGACATCACCTGACAGGACAGTATTATGTAATATTGACTATTTCGAGCTTTACATCATGGTATAATGCTATACAGTCATCAAAAACATAACTGGAGTGTTATTTTGATTCTTTCATGCATGTTTGAGAAATCATCTAATCTTCCGTGGCAACCATTCTGGTAAGAACTTTAAAAGGTTAATAAAGGAGCGATGTTGTGATGACTTCCTGAAGACGAAGTTTCAGAAAGAGCAGGAGTTTTTAAAGAGATAAAGCCCCAAATTCAAGGCAATAAATTATAAAGTCAAATTTCTTTTAAGTCAAGTAAGTAAAAACTGAAGGTAACATAGTTAATTGATTGTACTATAAAATTGTACTATGTGACTTGAAAGTACATTGTGCTGCCCCTTTACAATTAAAGGGGCAGCGACTGGACCCTCCAGTATAGGGTCTAGCAAATGTGATTGGAGTTAAATTTATTCATTCTTTTCTTTTGTGAAAACCTAAAGCTAAAAAACTCCCAACTCATGCGTCTCACAGTGCTACTCACATAAAATATAACCTTAAAAGTTTCACAATGACAACAAAAATACTTTCCACCATATTAAGAGTCTAGCTTTTTTGTGAATATCTCGCCTCTGCTGTTAATCTGAAACTGGTGCATAAGATCATTCTTGTCACTTTGTCTCTTTAAGTAGAAAAAGGAAATGTAATAAGTGAGCTTGTTCCAATGCTGTATTTAAGTTCAGGGTCTCAGCAGCCAGCAGGAAAAAACAACATATAAAGACACTACATTAGAAATGTCAATTTATCTTATTGAAAGCAGTTCAGCCTATTATCCTCTATGTGGCGCTGCAGTACTGGAGAGTATGTGGGACATGAATTTGCAATAATTTGTTCATATGCTCTTTGACACACGTTGGGCCTCAATAGCAAAATGACACAATTTTGATTCTGAAATTTGAACCAACTCTTCTAAAACTTTGGGCTACATTTAACTAGAGTTGAACGCTTAAGACATGACCAGATTCTTTCTAGAATATAAACACAAACGAGACCAATGTGGACACGCACTGGACAAAGAAGGTTGCCATGGTTACAAGTGGAAGATCTGTCAGACTGGTGACAAAAACTAACCAAGGCTAAGGATGACATAAATAGTGATGGTCAAATAAAGCTTACTGGTTTTAAAATGTTTTATTAATCAATTTTTTTTCCACACAGTCCTCTTTGATGCCATCTTGTGGCCAATAATATGAACTGCAGTTTACAACCTAAAACAAACTACTTTATTCTAACTGTCCATTATGGAGGGTTCAATATTCAGCTTCTGGTTTATCATGTGATACTTTTGTCTCATAGTGGGATTTCTTAGGGGTTTTTTTGTTTCAACATATATATTTTTAGGAGAAAAAAATGCAACATACATTGCATCATCAAGGATGCAATGTAACCTTGATGATACATCCTTCTTTCATCATCAAGGAAAGATGACGAATCATCTTTCTTTGACTGAATGTGGGTCGTTGTGTCATCTACATTTGCCTCTAACTCTTTAACGTTTGTGAATATAGTTGATAAAATCAGCACTAAGACACACCACAAGTCTCACCTAGTCAAATATCTGACTCATCCCATAATCCTTTGCACCTCATGTCTTAAAGGTCCAATGGCGTTTGAACACGCCACTCACCAGATCAACCATATTTTATTCACAGACCTTATTCCAGGAAACGTGTATCTGATATGACCGCCATTTTAACACTTACGTCCACTTCCGTCCTTACACACACACACACACAAAATATGTTTAGAAATGTGCTGATAGGTACCTAAGGCGATGCTCTGTGAGATGCATGTCCCCTACAGTTCTTACAGTTGGTGCGAGGCAGAAAAATGACCCTGAGTTTAAGTCTTACCCAGGAGTGTTTCTGTATGATGAGGTTTCTCTCACAACTTCCTCAAAGCATCCAAAAGCAAGCATGCTTATCTGTAAAGCAATCTATTCAATTTGCTGCTGCTCTTTGTTCGTTGAATAAATGTAAATGAGGCTGATCTGATGGTGGTGACCTGCAGCCTATAACAGGTAAGTGGGTAAAACCAGACAAGATGGTGCTCAGCAGATAGAGGTCAGTCAGTGGCAGAAGGTCAAAGTTACTGTTTTAGCATTTTTCTCTCTCTGTGTAAAGTTCACACATCAAAACAGGAGAATGCTTAAAACTGAGAATGAGCAAACTGTCTTTTGCAAACTATTGTATAGCAGCTCTGTATAGCAACATGCATTCAAATTTAGTGTGTTTTTGTTTATTTGGATGTTTCTGTGCGAGGCAGCAAAAAACATTGTGCATAAGGTTAAAATATCTGCAGCGGACAGGAAACGCAAACCACCATCAAGTGCTGCAGTGTCAGTGGCTGCTGTCGTGTGAAGTTAGTATAAAAGGGAAGGAAACACAGAGAGACAACAGTAAGAAGTGGAAGCACGAAACTTATTGATGTAATATATATTTTAGACTTAACTTCTCCTTTTATATGAACACAATTAAAACCAAGTAGAAGCCGTTCAGCTGAGCTGTGCAGCCGTTCTGGATGCCAGGATGAAACCCGCTCTGCTCTGCATGCTGGGCTTTTTCTGTAAGTACGTCACTGACTTTCTGCTCAGAGTTTAAAGAAAATGTTTCTTCACGATAACATGTGAGCGTGGATCTCTGTTAAGATCTGACTGTTGAAAACAAAACACTAAAGTCATTTTCCTCTTTTTGTAATCAGCATTGTAATTCAAGAAACTTTTGCCTCGCATTTGTTAGAGACACTATATGTGATTTTTTTGGACATAATGTGATATTTAAGCCTTTGTTTATTATTTTAAGCAGTCAGTTTTATTTTAATCTTCTTCTAAAATGAATAACATAGCATTTTGTTATTCTTAATCAGAATAATACAATGTATAATGTCTGACCGAGGCTTGATCTTTCTTGCAGTGCTCAGTTCTCTGCTTCATGGACGTGCTGATGGTAAGTAAGTTGTTTTGGAGTTAACTTAAATGAAGAAATATGGTGTTTTTCCAATGCATTTACCTTTGTTTTGTACAGAAATGGAACCTAATGGTGCAGTAGAGAAACAAACACTGAAACAATTGGCACTTTAGTATCACAATTCTTGTTTTTAGAGACAATTGTGTCTATTTAGATAGTTTTTTCTTTTTGCATCAATATTCTCTTGTATTCCTGGGACATATTATATTGACATGCTATGATTGACAGTAGTTGAGAGGCAGCTGAACAAAAAGGAAAACTAATTTTGGAAACTATTATTACACAGAACAACTTGTTCCTCTTTGTGTCGATTTGCCGACTCTCATGACTTTCCTGAAGTGACAATTTATAATTTCAAAGACAAAACAAAGTAGATTTATTAGACAAGTACAAAAGGTTGTAAAAGTCCTCTGAGTTTCCATTAACTTGTGATATTAGTATCTTTATGTTAGAAAATGACATGTTATTCTAAACCTAAGTAAAATATTTACCTGCATATGGACAGCTTTCTATTTTTTGTCAATAGAAGAGCATGAAGCATGACTGATGGAGAAAAAGACTAAACCAGATGTAGCAGAAATTCTACACTATTTTATAGAAAATAATACAAGATGGAGCAGAAGTTTAACATATTGTGATATTAATATATCATAATTTTTGCTGTAGGGCATAATGTGCAACCTAATCTAGAGTTATTTCATTACTGTCTGTAATATATAAGGTTTTTATTTCATTTTTTTTCTAGAACATAGCGAAATTGGAGTGGTACTCTTATTGATAAATAAGTATATAAAGTTTTAATCAGAACTTAGGTTGCAGCAAATGGGTGTGAGTGTTTCTGCAGGTGGTCAGATTGATTTCACAGTTCTTGGGAAAAAGTTGTTCTCGTCATGTTTTGGGGATTTTGTTTAACCCACATGCAGAAACACCATCAGCAGACAGGAACAGCTATAGGTTTATTTACAACAAGTTGAAAAGTGTAACAATGAAGGTGTCGAAGACAGGAACAAAACCCACACTGGAAAACTGGATCGGAACATTGGGAACAGAAAGAGAGACGATAATCCAACGGGAATACTGAGGCCAGATGATGCCGATGGCACTTACTTGTGCTGGTCCAGGCGATCCACCAGGAAAGGGCAGAAGTGAGAAGTTTCTTGAGAAGATACTGGCGACACGGAGCGGCAAGGCGTGGTGGTTCGAGTCCGTTTGTCTAGATGGCGATGGGAGGAAAGGGCAGAGCAGGCGCTGGTTGGACGGTGGTGGAGCGATAGCAAGCAGGGGCTGTTGG